AGCTTTATTTTAAAAATAAAATAGTTTTAAAATTAAGATAATGATAAAATAGTTTTAAAGTTAAGATAATGATTTAAACATAAACTAGTAATATTAATACAAGTTTAGATTTGAAAGATTTAAAATAAAACATTTAAGTTGAAGTATTAGATATGACAATTGATAAGAAACCTTCAAGTAGATTTCTTAAATAGATAATATAAAAAAGTTATATATATAGTCAATTGTATATTTTTCTTGTAATAGTTCATAAGATTACATTGTTAAAAAGTTATTATTAAAAGTCAAAAAACTAAAAAAATTACTTTTTAAAAATAATAATAATAATAATTATAAGTTTATATTAAGTTTTAAAAAATTATATATTATACTAAATAAAAAATCATTAATAGTATTTTTATTTATTAAAATATATAAGCAAAAATTATATAAAACAAAATTTTAACTTAATATTATAAAGTAATTAAAAAATACTAATTAGTTAAAATATATTATTTTTAAACTATATTATAACTGATTTTATTTTAAAAAATAAATATTGTTAACTATTTTAATAAATTTATATATTAATTTTTTAAAAAAATAATTAAAATATTCATTTTTTACAAAATTTTTTTTAAAACCAAAAATAAGAATTAACAAAAATATATAGAATTTTTTTATAAATTTTATAATTATATAATAATTTTATTAAACTTTTAATAATTTTAGTTAAGACTTTTGTATTATTATTTTTAAAATTGCTTTTTAGTTTAAATATTAAGCATATTAAAAAATTTGCCAAAAAATATTTTAATTTAAAATACAAATCTATTAAGAGTTTTGTTCTATGTTTTAATACTTATATATTTTATAAACAATCTGTTTTGTGTTAGTTTGCTATACCGTTTTTTTGTAATGCATATGTTTAATTATTTTAGTTAATATAAATTATTTGATAGTACTTTTTTATAGTTTTACTAAAATGGTTATAAAATAATAATCTTAACTATCTAGAATTGGCAACAAAATTATAATAAAATTTTGTGATCACATGATAATTTACAAAAATTTACCAATAATCTTAATTTGGCATAAAATTACGTGGTCAAAGAATTTTTAAAAGCAATTAGTTTTAGAAAAACTACTTTTATTTTAAAATTTTGCTTGGGAAACTGTTCGTTATGCACTAACTAAAAAAAATTATCGAGTAATTTTGCTACATTTTCTTTAATTTCCAACCTTAGTTTAAACACTAACTCTAACATAATAGAGCTTTAAAAATTTTATCGATCATCATGTAATCGCAAAAATTTTGTCGGAAGCAAATATTCTACATATTCTACGTACAGAGTAGAATCATGTGATTAGTTAATTAGCGGTTAGGGATTATAGTATCACGACGTGATTCTGAAGCATTGTCCATAGAATCTGGAGAAGATTGCTGGGCTACAGCAGAGACAGTACCCGATCCAAAGTGAATCCCTCTCAATCACATTAAATTATTTATGTTGGATTCAATTGTGATGGATATAATCCCTCACCAGTTTTAATGTGTAACATTAACGGTCTCTGGTGTTTTTCTGGACACATGATTTATACATGATTTATATCAAAGATTCTTATTGGTCAGAATATTAAAAAAAAAAATATGTATTGAAAATTTTAGTCTCCATCTTACTAACACGACTGGATATGAGAAACGATTATTTAAGGTTGTATAGTCTAATGTAAATTATCATCATCTTTAAATATTAATTATGAAATCGTGAAATTTTTAGTATAAGTCATTATCCTAACCTAACCCTATTCCTAAACTCAAACCCAATTTACTCTAAGCTTAAGCAAGGTTTTTCTTTGTAAAAATCGTTACACGGATTTGCAAATTAGTACCCGTGTACAATACACAACGTGTAAACTTTGGAAATTTTCTAATAAATAAATATTTTAAACTTTTAAATGAGAAACAAATTTATAATAAAAACAAAAATTTTTCTTGTATTTACAAGCAATAGGTAACTATATATGTATATATATATATATATTACAAATATTTATAAGCGCGCTTTTTTTAAATTTTTTTTTTTTTTAAGAAATCTTTTACTCAAGCGATTGGATAAAGCTGCATTACGCCTAAAAAAGTTCTAAAAAGTTGACTAGAATTAAAAATTTTATAAATAACAACAATAATAAGTTTTTCTTTATTGTCATTTTTTTATAGTCATTATTTTTTTTCTATATAGAATAAAGTTATCAATATCTCATCTCGTTTTTGTTACACTCAATTGTGACTATGACTATGACTACTAGAACTCAATTCTTTGAATTTAAAGTTGACTTTAAAAAAAAGTTCAACAGAGAATAGAGTCAACTCAAAAAATAGACACTAGACCATACCCTGACTACTGACTAACGTAAAGTTATTTAAGAAATTAAAAAGTTAGGATTAATGATAAAAGTTTAATAAGAAAAAAAGTTTTTTTTTTAGAGAAAGAGTTCGCCACCAAAAATGCGGGTCACATGATGAAACATATGATTAATAATAAATTGATTAAATAATAATTATATAAGAACGCATTTTTGGTGTTCGCCCTAACTAATTCTTTGGGAAGACAAAAGTATTTTACGTACAATTGCCTAGCGATAATTTTAAGAAATAGTAACCAAATTCAAAATCTATGGAACCTAAGGTACATTTAGTAGCTATATTTATTGAACATTTTTTTATTGTTACAATGAAATACCCTCTAAATTTTGACCGATATTTAAATTTGTGTAACAATGTGTATGCACATAAAACCTTATTTAAAAAATATTAAAGATATCGGTACACTAGGAATTATAAACATTGAGAGTATGAGAATATGTAAACTCGGAATATTATAATATTGTTTTCCGAGAATTATTGTATTTATATTTGTAATTTATTAAACATTATTATATATCGATATTTATATATATATATATATAATATATATATATATATTTGCGAGATATATTTTATACGTATAAAAATTAAAGTGTTAATAATACTTTTTTTAGAAAATTCAATTATGCATTTATTGTTAGTAACTTAAAAGTTTGAAGGATTCAAAGAACAATAAAAAAAATTAACATTAAAAACATTAAACCATTTAAAACAGTTAAAATAGTTAAAACAAATAGTTAAATGTATATATTAATTAATGACCCAAAGTTTTTTTTTTCTAAACAGAACTTTAATAATAATAACAATAAATAAATTTGAAACATAATATTTAACGTAAAAGTATTTACAGTTTAACAATATTTTTAAATTTGGAAAGTGTTTTTATTAAGTTTGTTATTTTTAAATTGAAATAAAAAAAAACTTTGTGTATATATTTTTATTATGTTCAAATTAAGGCATTAAAGTTTATGTCACATATTTTATCAAACGGTAAACTTATACCACATTGTTTTTTTTTAAAAAAAAAAAAACTTAACAACAACTTATAACAAGTGCTATTACAAGGTTTCAAAAGTGAAACATGTAAATGATGTAAATGATGTAAATGATCATAGTATGTATGTATGTACAGTTACAGGTGTATGTATGTATGTACAGTTACAGGTTTACAGGTGTATGTATGTATGTATGTACTGTACAGTTACAGGTTTTACACCGCAACACATGCTTATCAGTCAAACCGAGAATTATCCCAGTCCCAGCTCCATCACAGTCCCCAGTTCCCAGTTCCCAGCTCTTACTTAATTCCTAGTCTACCTAATTCCTAGGCTAAGTATAAAACCACAAAAGTTTTACTGATAAATATATTGTTATATTGTTGAGAAGATGACAATTAAACTAACGATAAATTATATAAATTACATATATGTAAATAAATTATATATATATATAATATAATATATATACAAATTATTATATTTATTTACTGCGGATACACGTTATTTCATTAAAAATTGGTTGGCGATATATGAATTTTTAATTTTTTTTTATAATAATGATAAATCACACCGATTATATTAAAACACCTGGCAGTCGGATCATTCGGTTATTTGTTTTTACCATGCGCCGGTGCTCCGCTTTCCGAAGTTACACGTAATCTCAAATTTTGCTGTTTGTTTGTTATTAATTGATTAAAAAAAAAAAGGGCATATTTCATGTTACCCTCCGATTGGTAATATTTGAAAGGTATGTATAATAAAGAAAATTTTATCAAGTTTGTTTCAAGATATTGAAATTAAATTGCTAATTAAGCATTTTAATTTGAACTAAAACAGGGACATGCATATAAATTATCTCATCTTGTTAAAGATTGGTGGTTATATATAAGGATTACATAAGGATTATCAAGTAACTTTAAAATCTCATCACAAAATGATTTGACACATCTTAAAAAATTTTTTGCAGCATATATTTTAATCATATTTTAAAATAAAAGCTTAATTACTTTTAAGTTCATAATATTATAAAATGATTGAACATAAAAAACAAATTTCAAATAATAATAATTATATAATACTATATATAATATAGTATATATAATAATATATAAAACTAGTATATAACAGTATAGAAGATCGTCTTCAATGTTGTCTATCGCGAAAAGAAAAGGGATGTGTAACTTTTTTTTTTTTTGTTCAAATCACACATATATTATCGTAATATATTATATCGTAATAGGTTAAATATATACTTATTATAGATTCCTCTCCTAATTGTTTGTACCTGCTTACGTTGCAGTTTTGTAGATTCTATTTTTTTTTTTTGAAAAAAAAAGAAAAAGAAATATAGAAATAAAATGTTCAATTTGAAAATCGGGATTTTTTTTTTTCTTTAATGCATATAGTAAAAAAAAAAGAAAGGGATTTTTTTTTTTTCCTACACACATTTTTACCATTTTATTACATGGATTTCATATTTTAGTTTTTTTTTTTTTTTTGATTCTTAAAAGTTCATATATGTATCCTAATATAGAAAAAATAAATGTCTAAATTTATCGAACCACCAATTATACGTACTAGTATAGTTTTTTTTTTCATACTAGATGAGAGGTGAAAAAAGGAATAGTCATCGCATCTTTAAAAGATTGAAATGGATGAGTATTATGACCCTTCAAGCTTCTATGCCAATCAGTCATAGTCTGATGATAAGATTTTTTATCAGGCATATTAATTGAATTACTATTACGATTATGACGACCATTTAACATTAAATGAAATAAAGTAGAATTTGATGAATTTGAATTCGAATTTTCATCTGGTGGAGTTAAAAGATTATGATTATGATCATTTAATGAATTAGCGATTGTTGGACTAGAGGTAATAGTATTTGAATCATAATATAATTGATCTAATAATGTTGAAGGATCATATGTAGAATTCTGAATTGTTAGATAAGAAGGTAATAACCCCCAAGATTCTCCTAACTCTATAGCAGGTGTAGAAGACAAAGAATCATTTGATAAAAAAGTCTGAATTGAATTTGAAGAATTAATAGAACGTATTGAGGAAGGATTCGTCGGTAATTGTGGTTGTTGTCTTCTTTGATGACGACGTCTTGGCTTTGAAGGCCAAATTTCTTTATATCTTTTTTTAGCAGCTTCAGCAAGTTTTTTATATTCTTGTTTTACAATTTCAGGTTCTTGTTTCCAAGACTCCGAAACCATAGGTGATATTTGAGTCATTTGTAAATTTACTCCTCGTGAGTGAAGTTCCTTAACGTAAACTTTACGGTAAATGATGAAAGCATTACTTGATTTTGAGGGTTTATCACCATTAGGTTTAGAAGTGACCAAGTCATCGATGTTTATAGATGGAGGAAAAGGAGGTTTGATGAATAAGGACTGTTGAGGTGAATCTTGGGTCAACCCCGATGTCGTCTCAATGGAAGTTGTCACATTACAAACTTCATTATCTAATAAAATTGGAGAACTATTAATACTAGATATATCAAAATGTAGTGACTCATCCATTGCACGATAAATTGGTTCTACGTAATATGAATGCATTTATTCGAAATACGGGGTGAAGAAAACACTTTTCTCTCTTTTTTAAGACGCGAGGCCCTCTAATGTATTTATATTTTTAAATTTGGTGTACATGTATCATCTTTATCAGGTGATTCTATTTTAGTTTTACTTTATTCCTATCGTTTATGTAATATTTGATAATATTGACATATTGATATATTAATATACTGTATCTATATAAATGTGATAACACACTTTTATAAAAAAAAGTGATATAAAAAAAACCATTTTATTATTTATTTATTTATTTATTTATTTATTTATTTATTATATCAATATTAGAATTTTATATATTTATTTATTATTACGCATGGAATAGATCAATTGTGGCGGTGCAAACTCTGGCGCTAACCATTTTGATAAACAACAAATTCGAACGTTTTTTTTTATACGTAAAGAATTAATATTGATATCTGATATGAATTAATATGAATTAATATGAATTTATGTGAACTAATTTGAACTAATGTGAACTAATTTGAATTAATTTGAACTAATTTGAAGTTGAATGAATTATGTAATGAATTTCTTTGATTAACTTTTCAAACTGTACACATATCATGAAATTGATTTAATTTGAGGCTTATATATATATATATATATATATTTATTTATTAATTCAAAAGAAAGACTAATATTAAATTCTTCAATTTTTTAAATTGTTTTTAATTGTTTTAATGAATCGGAAAATAATTCCATTCGCCATTAGTATATATGCCTTTACTATCATAACACATCATATCATACCATATTATATCTTACATCATATCATATCATACATCATATTATAATCATAATAAATCATAATATCCTACTAATACAGTAATATCTCAGTGATATCTCAGTGATATCTCAGTAATATCTCAGTAATTTTTACTCAATATACTCGATATATTTTAATATACTCAAATAGCATTTATTTACAGTCAAAATCTCAATAAGTACGATTATTTGAATTCATGATCACACAGATAGTTTATAGGTTGTAGTTTGACCAATAATGATAATAATAAATTAATTACAAGTGCAAGGTAATTTCACTTAATACTGAAAAATACTATTTAAATAACATTCTTTATGACATTCTTTATTGAAAAAAAATAAAGAAAATCTTAACTATACATCAAAAAAATCTATTGGCCATTACGAATTTAGGGTAACAATATAATTTTATCAAATTATTGTAGACAAATAAATTCTAGTGAATTTTATATATATATATTTTTTTTTTTTACAGACGCATGTATTAGATATGTACATATGTATGTAACTCCTAAAGCATTGCAATAACTGCGATAACTGCCATACTGCAAATAATTGCAAAATAATACTGCAAATAATACTGCAAATAACACTGCAATAACACTGGAAATAACACAGAAATCATACAATAATAACTAAATAAATGTGTTCGAACGTTTTGTACTGTACATGCTCTATTGCGTTATACGACTATCACTTTATGTTTAACATTTAGACGACAAACAATATGAAAAATCACACTTATCTATTTCCTGTTTTTATCTTCTTTATTCTCACATTTGAATTCTAGAAATTAATCAATCTCAGATAATTCTTTGGTTGATCAATTTCGAAAAATCTTTTAAAAAAGAATTTTAATAATCCATATCATGGTACAAGTGTATCAATCGGCTGGGTTGTCATAAGTAATACCAAAGGTCAACCCAAAAAAAAAACTTGTACGTAATAAGATGATTATTGCGATTATTACGCCATTTTTTTTTTTGGAAAATTGCTTTATTAACAATTTGTAGTAAAAAAAAAATTTTTTTTCGTCTTTTTAATGGTTCAGCCAAACAGGAATTTTTCAGGATATATCATCCATATATGAAATTTTTTATTCTAACTTTTTTGATTGATTGGGAAGTTTTGATTGGAAATATGCAATTTTAAAATCCTACGTACGGAGAAAACAAAAAAAATAAGGAAAAAGAAAAAAGAAATTACATATAACTATAAAAAAAAACGTTATAAAAACTATACATGTGTATATAATCATAACCAAAGGTCATAATAACGATAAGGGTTAAAGGAACGCCACAATAAGCATGGTGCAGCAAATATATTGCGGATATAAATAAGAATGCAGTTAATTAAAATTTTCGCATAGCATTTATTCATGTAATTTCATGTAATTGGTATTCGTATAAACGTCCCTAATTGAAAAAGCAAAATCATGGGTAAAAGGTACTTCCAGTGTTGTCCAACTATTAAGTACAGTAATTTGCAAACTTTTTCCCTGCCTAAAAAAAAAAAAAGTCACACAAGTTAAACAAAGTTAAACAAAGTTAAACAAAGTTAAACAAAGTTAAACAAAGTTAAACAAAGTTAAACAGATTTACTCATGGCTAAGCAGGTGACATTTTATATATATTGTATTATGGGGTATTTTTTTTTGGCATGTGATAAATTTATTATAAATTTATGTTTTTTTTTTATGTTTTTTTAAGAGATTTAATTAGTAATGATTAGTAAATTTTTAATCATAAATTCTCATATAGTTCTACGCCGAAGCTTCGTTATAACAACATGATCAAGAATTAGAAAATTTTAATTGGTATATTAGTTAACAAAGATTAGTATTTGTGACCATAATGTTAATTATAAAGCAAGCCACCTGTATACGTTTTGTTAGATAATTGGTTAAGTAGTATAAAAATTTGTGTTTTGTGTAATTTTTTTTTTGTTTATTCGATAAAATGGACAATCCTGAAGAGATTCACGCATTTTTTTAAAAATAGTTACCACTCATATAAAGTTAATTAATAAGCCAATGTCCAAACAAGGTGAAAAATCAAAATTAATCTAAAACATTGCATATCAAATATGTATACAAAAGATGTTAGTGGATGATAAGATCATAACTCAACAATAATGATATAAATAATAAGACTTGTTGACGTAATATGTATATGTGTGTGAAATTATGATTCACACGAGTCTAATTTTCGCGATCGTTGCAATTTATCCTACGTTGATATTTCGCAGATGCAGATTTTTGAAAGTGTTACCAGATGAGAATTAGTAATTTTTAAACTTAATACAGTTAGTAAATACTAATGGATATTCCTAAATTTCAAGATTCCCACGCATGTACGCACCGTACTAGCATTTTACGTTATCTTGATGTAAAAAAGATAATGTAAAAATATATGTAAAAATATATGTAAAAGAATATATGTAAAAAAATATATGTAAAAAAATATATGTAAAAAAATATATGTAAAAATATGTATAAAAAAAGATAATATATTTGTTTTTTTTGCACATCTGGGATTTAAACCCGAGATTCACAATAATAAAAAAAAAACAATCATGTAATGTAATTAAGTCATGTATGCTAATATCACTTTTTAATGAATATACGTATATATAGACACTTTGATCAAAAAAAAGAATGAATGATACGTACTCGGAATACACATATAAAGTGTGTATAAAATGTGTAATAAAGTGTGTATAAAATGTGTAATAAAGTGTGTATAAAATGTGTAATAAAGTGTGTATAAAATGTGTACGTATAAAGGTTCTTTATATATATAAAATACTTAATGTTAATTCTCATTATTTATGAGATCACGAAATAATATTTTAAATTTCTAGAATTCTCTTATTTATTGGTTGACGATGTATTGGTATTTGGTACATTTATGATTTCCAAAATGCGTTAAACGCTTAATCCTTATTACCAGATTTGTGTCATAAATGATCTCGCATTTACGCAGTAACTTAACTTAATTCACGCCAACTTATCAGCTTATCCGAGTATGTATGTAAGTATGTAAGTGCGTAACAGGTAAGTACGTACTTACCTGTTACGTATATATGTACAAGATACAAGATACAAGATACGTAGCTTTCTAGATAATAATGCTCCGGAGCACTAGTAGATAGAAAGATAAAAGGCGTGCATTTAGCCCGCCTGCATGTTGATAATATCTAGGAAAAGACGCATTGCGCATTGACCATCCTTAAAAGGTTTAAAAGTATTCTTTTGCATCTTTTGCATGTTTCATTTACGTATAAAAAATATTATTTATTATATTATGCGTTCTTGGCTCTTATAAATCATACCAGCCACACTTAAAAAGAATTATGAAAGCTACTATTACGCATCAAATAGAATTACTTTCAAATATCACATAACATTCAATCAAGGTTAGTAGTGATTTAATAAATTGATATCCATTGATGTCCATTAAATGTACTTATAACCAGCCAAAGACATCTCTGTACTTTAAATTTCCAATTCCGATTTTCTGTACCAACTACATTTAAATATATCAAGTACGTTACGAAGTTGATACACCAGAAAACAATTTCCAAATATATGATAGTAATATGTATATATATCATTTAACATTACTCATGATCAGTATTTGGAACTTCTTTTTTTTTTCTCTTTCACGTACGTACGTACGTACAATATTTACGCAAATTATTTATTACACGACTTTTACAAAAAAAGATAAAGTCACATTTATTCGTCATTTATGTGTATCTCCTATATCTGAAATGATCCGATCGAAAATTCAAAAATCTTTCATAATCAACTTACTAAATTGTTTCTGCAATACATATTGGCTTTATTAATTTTTTTTTTCCCTATCACGAATGATCTTTCTCTATTTTAATATAGATAACATTTATAATGGTAATATTATATATTATTAAACGTTAAAATCGGAACATTCAATTCATTAAATTCCGCGCTAATAATAAATGTTGCGGTGGCACTAATGAAACTATGAAGGATTTGTACCACGTGATTATAGATATACATATTTCTGTATTTGGTTATTTAAATGTCTATGAATGAAATAATTGTAATCAATCTAATATGCACGTATATCGGTATATACCATCTAAGTTTGATATATTAATTTTTTTTTCGCAATTAATAAATAAGCGAAATAAAAAAA